GGCAATTCGGAACGGAACTCTGGTTCTCTCTGGATATACCCTTCGCTTGTGATCTCAAAGGCAGACCGCGCTACTTCTCCAAGACATTTTGTAGTTCTGCATAGTGACCCTCGGGTCATTGCTGTCCACTGCAAAAATCGAAAACTGGAGTTTGTCGCGATATGCGCGCATAGTCCGCGCAGCGGGGCACCCATTGAGATCAGAAAACAATGGTGGGACTATTTGCAGAAGATCTGTGAAGCCGCACCGAATGGCACTGACAAAACTATTCTGATCGATGCTAACGCCAGAATTCATTCATCGGTTCCAGGAATAGTTGGCGATTTGACTGAGAGTTTTCCAACGCCGAATGAAGCCGTGTTTGTGGGGTTTTTAGCATCAGCTGGCCTGTGTGGCTATCCCAAGTCACTGGAGGCAAGCTGTTGTCTCCACCTGGGTCGACGCAGCCATCACTTCCGGAGCTGCTGTACCTGATCACTCCTGCACGTCTGTCTATCTCACCTGGACTCAAATGCAAAGGCTTCAGAACAGTAGTGCAAGGGGTTTTGTCCAAACCTATCTTGAAAGAGACAATCGAATCCATTCCGACTGTGCCATGGGCTGTCAATGCGTCCATCCATTCAGCCCGTATTAGCCGACGCATTAGGGAGTCGCTGTGCCAGGCCTTCCCACGCCAAAAGCGTCTCAGGCAGAATCAGGTTGCCAGTATGGAATCGCGTGAGCTTTGTGCCCTATAGACACGAGTCTTCGTCGACAGCTGAGGCCTTATAAGCTAATAGCTAGGTTTGCTCTGCTCCAAGAATGCTTTTTGCATTGGAAAGATGGAAGGTTCGTAGATGTTACTGACGAATGGATTAAGGCTTTTCACACTAAGCAGGCACTCATCAGATATCAGCTCAACGATACTGCCTGGAAATTACGCAAGCAGCTCCAGGCTGACCGGAAATTGTTCCTGGCAAGCGTATGTGAGAAGGTAGTTGGGGCAAAGCCTGGAGATGTTTTTTTCGAATGTTGCGACCTTTGATAGGCGCAAGTCGTCGACATGGGGTCGGCGTTCCCTTGCCGCAGGTCAATCGGTCTGATGGTACAGCAACTACCAGTCACGAGGAACACCAAAGGAGATGGACTGAGCATTTTGCTCACCTGGAAGGGGGTCACGCAGTGAACCCTATCCAAATCGTCCGGCAAGAACTAGCGAGGCAGAAACTGCAATCAATTCCCCGAATGGTCGTCGTTGAACGAGGTCCCGACTCTTGCGCAGCTGGAAACGGCCCTTCGTAGAGTTAACATGCATAAGGCTATGGGTCCAGATGGGGTGCCAGGAGAAATCTTGCGCATGTTTCCGAGGGAAATGGCTAAGATCCTCTTCCCATCGATGACCAAATTTGCAACCCGCTTGCACGAACCCATCCAATGGAAAGGGGGGCAGCTCATCAAACTGTACAAGGGCAAAGGACCTGTTCAGGAATGTACCAGTTTCCGTGGCATTTTACTAATGAGCACTATAGGAAAGCTGTGCGAGCTGGGATGAGGTCAAAAGTCAACCGAGCCTTCGTTCATAGCAGCACTGATACACACTTTGGGGGCAAGCCTGCCCAAAGTGTCATCTTTGGGGCTCAGATGGTGCGCCACTTCATTTCGATGAATCAAGAGACAGGCAAGTGTTGCGCGGTCCTCTTCTGTGACATTGCATCGGCTTTTTACCGGGTCCTCCGGCAGCTGGCCACAGGCGCCTCCATGAGTGACGAACATATTGCAACTGTTGTTGCGCGTCTGGGGCTGTCTGAGGAAGTCCTACACAAGCTGCATCGTGCATTGAAGGGGCATTCGGCGCATGACACCTTAGGGGGAACCCAGTCTGAGCGCCTACTCCTGCAGGAAAGCTTGACAGGAACATGGTTCTGGACAGGACAGGGACCCTTGATCCATACGTTAGTTGGTACTCGGCCTGGAGACTCTTGGGCAGATATAACCTTTAATGTCCTGTTTGCGGATGTTATTTGTGAAACTCAGAAGGAGCTCAAGAAACTTGGCCTTGCACTCACGACTAGCAGGGAAGTGAAGCGTAATCTTGAGGCGCATGAAGGGGCAGATGGAGCTGAAGGCGAAATCTCACGTCACGCCACTTGTGCTGATGACCTAGCGTTGCTTTTACCCCTTGGCTCACCTGAGCAGGCAGTTCAGCAGACCGGACTAGCAGCCCAAGCATTGTTGTTGCAGCTCGCCAGATTCGGAATGAAGGCGTCATATGATACTGCAAAAACTGCGGTGTTGCCGTCCGTAGGAAGGTATTCGCGAATAGAGTTCCACGTATACCGGTAGTTCTGGAGTCAGAGACGGTCCTTCTTCCCATCGTGACACAATACAAGCCGCGAAGGCCAACATGAAGCTTGAAATCACAGCTCGCATCGGGAAAGCAAACGCAGCTTTTGCGCGGATCTCTCGCAAGTCCTGAAAGCCAAAGCATATCCCCTCAAACTAAGGCTACAGGTCTCGAGGCAACGGTTATGTCTATCTTTGAATGGGGATCAGGCGCGTGGCCACTGCTCACAGCAGCAGAGTGGAAGTCATGGCAAGTTGCGTGTTTCAAGCTCTTTCGCAGGATGAGTCCATTGTCTGAGGTGATGCACCAGCGTCATGTCTCCAACGCACAGGTAATTGTTTCCCTTGCCATTCCGCTGCCAGTGCCAGTAGACAGATTACACGCCGCCAGGGTTCGACGTGTAGGTTCTATGATAGTGCATGCCCCCAATGCGGTCTGGAGTCTGCTGAAGCAAGACCCAAAGGCAAGGCAAGCATATGCATCGTCCATGCAATGGGTGTGGCGAGCCCTAGAGCGAGACCGGGATACTTATGGTCGGCGTGGGAAGAGTTAGCCCACAAATCGCCCACCGCATGGAAGAGATTTGTCCGCAGGGCAGTGCAGAGAAACACGACGTTTCGAGTCTGTGAGTCTAGAGTCAAGCAAGCCCATGCAGACATTCTGAAGCAGATCACTGCCATTGGAGGGACGATCACAGGGTATGAGTTCCATACACAACACTACTGCCTTCTTTGTGATAAGCCGTTTCAGAACAAGCGAGCTTGGTTCCTACACTCCTACCACAGGCACTCCTATGTGTCGATGGCAGGTCAGGCTGCGCAAGGCACTTCATGCCCTGTCTGTGCGAAGGAGTATTTCTGCCAAGAGAAGTTGAAGCATCACCTACAGTATAGCGCTGTTTGCCGCAATTTTGCCTGGCATTCAGGCGGGAGCCGGCAGGAACATGGAAATGCAGTCCATGCTCTCATGCCATGGGTGTACTTAGGACATGATGCTGTGCAACATGACGATTCCACGAATAGGGACGAGGCTCAGCTATGCCAAGATCTTGATGAGACCCTTCGACATTTTTCGGTTTCTGTCGATAGTGCCGCATTTGAGGATGATTTGTGCGCCAGACTCAGAGAAACCTGCAACAGACCAATGCCTTTCCCGGATGTTGTGAGGACGTTTGAGAAGTGGCTGGACGCATTCGGTGCTGAGGCGGATCCTACGTAGGTCAGGCCGGAGAGTCCTCCATGAACTTGCAGCTCTCAGAGGAAGCCTCTTATCCGAGGAAGAATGCCGGGTTGAGACCGAGGCGGATAGAAAGGCATTGTTTTGTCAGAGAATCTTGGCATGTAGTCCCAGAAGAGTGTTTAGAGAAAAATACTTCTTGAATCTTTTTAGTGGTAGAAGACGAAGAGGAGATTTGCAAGATGCACTAGAAGCACACGAACCAGAATCAGGAGTTGCGCTCTGGGTGTTGTCGCTTGACATTATGGTTTCTGGAGAATACTGTGATCTCCTCAAAGAGGACACACAGGAGCTCTGGTTGCGGGTTGCGCGCATGGGCTTGGCTGAGGGCCTGCTCGCTGGTCCGCCGTGCGAGACATGGTCCGTTGCCAGGGAGGCCGATGGCATGGCGCCGGCAACCGGACCCAGACCCCTGAGGACGGCAACCTCACCCTGGGGGATGCTAGATTTGACGCCGCGAGAATTCCAACAAGTGGACGTTGGCAATAGGCTCATGATTTTCGCGCTTCGAATTTGCCTCGTACAAGCTTCGAAAGGGAAATTCTCGCTGCTAGAACACCCCGATGATCCGGAGTTGCACAACCCCAGCAAGCGGAATTCTCCCACAATATGGAGAACGTCCGTACTGACATGGCTCAGGCAGACTGGTCTTTTTGTCGAGCTTCGACTTGAACAGGGACATTACGACCAGGAAAGTCCTAAGCCGACGAGGTTTCTTTTGAGCGGGATAGATGATGCGGTAGCTCATAACATAGCCTTGCAGTGTAGGACTTCAGAACGGCCTAAGGCCTCTTCGATTGGCAAGAGCGGTGGCTCCTTCCGTACAGCAAAACTCAAGGAGTACACCCCACAACTTTGTGCCATGATTGCGCAACTCTTTCTGTATCGGTCGAGGCCCCCTTGCGAAGCTTTGGGTGAGGCCCCCGATCAGTTTAGATGGATGCAGTCACTGTCGGTAAGTACTTTTGAGCACGAGTCTCACGGTCCCGACTATGCAGGCACAGGCTAATTAAGAATTTATGCGTGCTAGGCGGCGCGCTTGACTGCTCTCGCCGCGCATGGAAATGGAAAATGGAAACGTGATTGCCGGTATTGCAGCATTGTACCCCATGGTGCGCACACATTTGGCGACCGGTCTCTCCCCCGTCTGTTTCATACATTTTGTTAGATTTTTGTTGACCTTGTCCCCCTTGTTCACAAAATGGCAGCAAATGCACAACGAATGTAGATGTGCGTAGGAGTGCGTCCTCCCGTGCATACATCCGGGTTTTGATCCCCTTTGCCTTAACGGTGTTTCCAGAAACATCGAGGGAACACGAAACATGTATATGTTGTGTTGATACATCCTCATTCTTTATGTTCAACCCCCTGGTGATCACGTACATATTCACATTCAACTCATCCCACAGATCGCCGTTACAATATGCTTCTGAAATGACAGGTGAAATTCGAGCTGAAGACAGTGACTCGCATGCAGTTGAATGGGCTCCAAAACATTTATGGTGGATTCGCAGTTGAAGGGAACACCCAAGGCTGCCTGCTAGTTGGCAAACCCATGGTGTATTCCGGTCCCCTCACTATGGAATACTACAACCGCTACATTGTGAAGTTTGGCGTCGGTGCAGCTTTTGGCAATATACAAGAGGAAACATCATTGATTGACTACGACCCCACCTTCAACACACTGGATTTTTGTTTGTCTGATTCGGTCTACATGTACTTCTGCGACACCTACGCTTATGAGTCCCGATTCGGCCGAGTAATAAAAGTGGACCCACGTGGAGGTGCTGCTCCAACAGTCTTGGACTTGCTCAATGTGGAATCCACAGAGATGCGGGAATTCTTGAAGGGTGGTTTTGCAGGCAGCACCCATGGCTATATACAGGTCAAGAATCCCAGTCCCAGGAGATTGGTTCGCATCTCCTTGGATCCCTATCAGTACGTGGACAGTTTGAATTTGGAGAGCATGTTTCACGCCGATGATTACTCAACTGGGATGCACGGGGGCTTTGAATATCGCCAGCATCTGTACCTTTGCCTCGGAGGTCGCAATCATCTTTGGCGGTTGAGCAAGGCCACATTGTCAAATCCCGAGAAAATGCCACTGCCCGAGAATAGCGACATTGGTCAAGGTTGCATCCGTTCGGGGGGCCGGGCCTACTTCTATGGCGGAGGAGGGTCAACCGCAGTGTTGGCATTTGACCTCGAAACCTTGCAGGTATCAGACATTCTGCATACTTGGCCTGCGTTCGCTATTCAGCGGTATTTTGTACAGTCAAGCGCGTTTGTGCATAGCACGTATCTTTACCTCCTCGAGGGTGGGGGTGCCTTATACCGTTTAGACATGGAGGCCAACGTTGTTGCCTGGCTCAACCTCGATGTATCCGGAAGCTTTGTTGACAGGGAGTACATGTTCGGAGGCTTGACAGATGGCACCTATGCATATTTTTATTCTTGGAAATCCATCATGGCGAGGATTACATTGTAGGGATCCAAGGGTGAATGCCAGCTTGATTTTCCAAGTTCAAGCGTTCAGGAATCATAGATCTATATTTTCATATGATTCCTGCACATTTCCGTGTGGCCAGGTTTCTTTTGAAGAATGGATGAATAGTTTTCACGCTTGTGTGAACATTTGTTTGTGTTCGTTGACGGCCCGAAAGCGGCCATAGGAAAGCTTTTTATCAAGGTACGCATTTGTTGCAGAGGCAGACCATTGTGTGAACTTTTTGCTGCTTGAACACTGTTCCCTTCTTGCTTTATATAGCCTTTTTTGTGTGCCAGCTTGTAAGCCAAGTAGAGCCATCACCGAAACTACTTAAGTTATTGGCCTTATTCTTCAAAAGAGACCTTTTCACAGAGATGGACAGTAGAGATGGGACTGGGTCAGAACTTCCGAAGCGGAACAGGATCCACAGTTCCATGCCATGCCATGAAAATGCATGGCATCCTGGCAAGGCAGCTGACTGGTAATGGTCAGTCTATTTGCATGCTTTGCCGTGGCCGAGACAGCCGTGTTGTAGCAAGAGACAAGAAAGTGCGCGACCTTGTGCTGCTGGAGCACCTCTCAGTTTTGCTGAAGTTGCTGAGCCTTGAGGAAAGGAGGGAGGCCAAAGGCATTATTTTTCAATCCTTGGTTGCTTTTGTTGTGGGCAGTTTGTCAGCCGCTTGAGCCATTGTCTAAAGTTGCGCTCAGTTTTGTGTACAGGAAGTTGCGTAATCAGGCCATGCATCGAGATGTCTTTCTCATTACTCTAAAGGATTTCTCTTAAAGCAGGCTTTGACATTTTGGTAATTCTTGCGACATTCCCTGCTGGAGCATAGCAAAGACCACAAATGCGCTGGTTTTCCATCACTGGAAGCACCAAAGCACATCCCATCAAGAAGCACATGAATTGCTCACAGTGGTATTACATGCCCGAAAAAGCCGGAGCCATGATTACATCTGGCAAAGGCCTATAACATAGGTGCCGTGCCAATATAACAGGCAGATGGCATGCAACCTGAGGGTGCAATGCAACACAAGTATCCTTCCCATTCACATCATTGTGATGCTGTTTGACATCAGGACGCCTGTTTGCTCTGGCAAAGTGTCGCAACGCATAAGTTGCACGGTTTTTGTGCTAGTTGCGGAAAAAACTGGATTGAATTCTGCCTATGCGACATGCTCTAGAAAGAACCTGGATTGAGCATAGTGAGCCTTGCTTTGGGGCTATCGAATTTGCTGAAGGACGAAACATGGAGATTACCATGGAGTTTTGTTCCAACACTGCTGTGTCATGCGTGTTGCTTGCTTCATAGATCAGGTCAAGGCTCTATGTGTGGGTAGAAAGGCTGAGAAACTTGACATTGACAGCCGCCCAAGACCCTTGGCCTATGACCAACGGTCCAATCAAAGGACGCTTGGAAGCTTCCTGTTGGCCGCAGCAAAGATCAGCAGCAGTTGAATGGCTTACATGAACGTGAGTCAAAGTGTGCTGCTGTGAAAGCATGTTCATTATTGGAGAGAAAACCATTGACACACTTCACAGCAGTGGTTTTCGATGTCTTTTCGAAACTCGACTTGATCAACGATTTGATCGGATCAGCAAGAAGCAATCTTTTCCTCCTTTCAGCTGGTGGCCCACCTCTGCAGTTTTTCTCGCCTCGCGCCGCACAATGAAGACCCTTTCGATGGAGTGATGTCTGGCGAGGAGCAGGGTGCTCAGGCACAGATATGTCCACAATGCTCCTTGGTTGAAATGATGCAGGGTGGGAGGTGCTGAGAGGTTCTTTGATTTGCATGTGCACCACTTGTCGTCACCAACAAGAGAGAATCTGATCGTTTTCCACGCTCCGACATGTGGCTACTCGAATGTGGTCAGGTATATACCAGCCATGGCATGCCATGGCTATTCTTTCTTGCACGCTTCTTCGGTTGCGTTCGTTGAGTTAAAAAGAGTTAGCCACACGTGTTTGTTCCGTCTTTCCACCCATTGCCTATGGCTGCGAGACGAAACGTGCTGAATGGCACCTGCTGATTGACGATGGATCGGATGAGGCGACTGACCTGTGAAAGAAGGGCTACGACCCGATTGGATGGATTGCCATGAGTTTGCTGCTTCACCAGTTGTGAAATCGAGAATGCGAAAGGAGGATGATGAAAAGGATGAGGATGATGAGAATCTTCCCTCTACCTCACCCATTAGGTTGGCAGGTGCTTGAATGAAACAAATATTCTTGTGATGCTGTCCTTGCGAATTGCTCACCATTTTCAGTGAAGTATAGAGGGGTTCGATATCCAAGACTGAACATGCGCTCACTTGCACCACACTGATTGCCACTGATCTCAAGCGAGGTCTTGTTGAGCAAGGTCTAATTGTGATCACTTCTTGTTTTTGCCCACCCGGCTTCGACCCACCCATTTGTGGGGCTGCTATGCTTGCGCGGAAGTCAGTTTCTTTGTACATTCGCCAGCTTGAGGAAGCTGGTGTCCATTCCCTTTGCATGAGCGACTCTACCTCAAAACCAGCCGCAGGCAGATAAACCAGTGGCAGCTGTCTAGGTGATGTGACTGTGCACTGTACGTCAGCCCTCTGCAAACAGAAGAGAAACCCGAGAAAGCTGACACCAAGAATCCCCTTTCATTTTCTTCACAACCTGTGCCCAAGTGACCCAACAAAGTGTGTGCCAAAGTGATCCTTGAAAGTGCATTTTAAAAGATCTAAAAGTGACCCTGTTGCCTAATAGGTAGATATGTGCATGCACATAAGTACACGAGAGAGAGAGAGAGAGAGGGAGAGCGCGAGAGAGAAGTCTAGACACTCTATCTATACTTATTGCGAACGCGAACATCGCCTTTCATCCGCCGCGTTTTCTCGGCTTTCTCGGTGCTTTTTCCTTTTGCCGATCGGAGCGGCACCGCACGACCGGTCGGCACGTTCGTCCGTCCGGTGCTCGTTCCACGTCGTTGCGGATGTTCCGAGGTGGGGAGTTGGTGCAGAAGGCGATGAAGGCGCACAAGAAGAAGGACTGCAAGCAGAGGATGGTGCCGAAGCGATATGGTTTTGTTGGGAAGAAGAAGAGGGGAAAGAAGGGGGGAAGAAGGGGGAGATGGGAATCATCAGAAATCAAGGGATTTGAGAGATTTGGTTGGTGAGATGGGAATCCAGGATACTGGTTCCGTGTGTTTTTTGGGTGCAGGATGACAATTTCTTTTTTCAAGCTGGACCAGAAATCTGGCTGTGTTAACGACAGATCTCTAAAGTCTTGATTGTCTATTGTTCTCCTTGATGACACTTTGCATCAGATCTAAACCTGGCTACTGAATCCAACCTTCTTTGTGGACTTGCAGAAGTTGGAAACAGTTCAAGTCACCGGATTTGGAGCTCTTCTCTAAATCCCTATTCCATTCGGAATGGGCTGAGCTTCCATGATCGACCTATCTAAACCACCTATCTAAACTGCTACATCCTCAAAAAAGATAAGGTTTATTGGTTAAAGTTGGACGCAATTTGCTAGTTCAACGGACATCATGAATCCTTGTGACATCAAGAATCAGGTCAATTGCAAGCTCTGCAAGAAGCGTTGCACAGCCGAAGATCTTCCTGACCATGAGCGCCCCTCGGAGCTCGCAGCGGTTTGAAGAAACTTGAACACACGAACAATTGTAAGCATATTCATGGCTTAAGATGCTCAAAATCACAGGTTTCTGCAACAATTCAGTGATTTTGGCTCCTCCATCCTACAGAACCCCACAGCTAGGTTAATTGGAGCCAACGACAACAACAACAACAACAACAACAACAACTTCAACTTCAACTTCAACTGCAACTGTGCTAAAAGCCTTGTAAGCTATCGAGATGAAAAGGAACAGCGGCTTTTGATGAGCTGCTGAGGAGTGGAATGCGAACATCGCCAAGTGACCTGCCGCCTGTGCAGCTCACTGCTAAAGCAGCGCGAGCTGAACTATCATCAACTCTACGAGTGTGAGAATGGCGAGGTGATTTGCGAGAATGATGGATGTGGCTGGTCAGGCCTGCGGCACCAAGAGGCGGACCACGAAGTCAAGTGTCCATTTGCAAAAGTGGTCTGTGCACATTGCTTGCTTGAGACTTGGCGTGGTCTTGCCTGATGTGGTCTTGCCTGATGTGGGGATCAGTGGTGAAATGACTCGGATTGCTGCCGAGCATGCTGCCAAGCTGACAAATCCATGTCAGCAACAAGAGGAAGATGGTAGAAACAAAACAATGTTTGTGTGCCAGGTGTGAGACAACCAGGAAGACAAAAACAGGATGTTTCAAGGAATGACCGCCCTGATTCGTGTCACAAAACGCACCCAGGAGCAGTGTTGCGTCGAGCAGACGACACGACCTTGAAGCGGATGCATCACTGAAAATGGCTCAACTGTGATCCATGGTTGATCCATTCTACTCCAGTTTGATGGCCACTTACGTACCTCCAGTTGAGCGTTCGAGGTCCTGTTTCGAGCCTTTTCTGAGGCTGACGACTTCATCGGTCCCCTAGAGTTCGGCCGTGCATAGTTCGGGATGCGGCTGAGGAAGTCCTTCAAAAGGAGATGCGGGGGCATAGCTGCAAAAGAGCATCTGGACCATAGCAGAGGGAGGGGGAAGGTGGGCATGTCCGAATGTGGATGACGGGTCCCACAACTCCGGACTGGATCAAGTTGCGTTGGATTTCAATCATCCTTGACCATTGGCTGTGGCTATGAGGTTCCTAGTTAGTTTGGCGGGTTGTTTGGTTTTGCTTTGATTTCTTCTTGCATGGATCTCACATATTTGGGGCAGACTTCATCCAAGAGGTTTGGACGGTCGGACAAGCTGAGGTGCACCCGCAGACCCAGTGCACCGTCTGTCTGGAATCCTTTGAGAGCCTGGGTCGGAAGAGCATTGCACCGGCGATGCTCATGATGGATGAAAGGTCCCTTTGTTGCATCAAAAGAAGGATGTCTTCTGTTGACCTTCTTGAGATTGTGAAACTCATGGGATTGGAGTTTTTGTTTGTTTGTTTGTTTGTTGGTTGGTTTTCGCCTGTCTACGCGTGCTACGGGTGTGGATTGACAGGGCGCGATCAGAGAAAGGATATCCCAACAGGCCTTTAGATCGGCAAGAGTGAGGAGTCAATCCTATAACACCCTTGGACCTTGCATCAATCTTGAATTCGCAGCCGATTTCATTAAAAAGGATCTCTACCCTGGCTGGGGAAGCTTCAGCATCAAGTGTTGCTGAGTCAACCCCACAAAACGATCTTGAGAAATCAAGAGACTCTGTCAGAAACGGACACCCCAGGGTCTTCACACGGATTCGGAGGTCGGAGGTCGGAAGCTCCGTCGCACACTTGGGCCCTCTTCCTCCTTCCCATCAGCTGGAGTTTCTCTCACAGATATCGCTGAGAGGATCCTGCCGATATTAGGGGTGCAGGTGCCACCGATCTCAGTCCAAACCATTCATTTGGCGGTTGAAAGCGTCCTCGGGCATGGATTTTGCTGACCTATCACCCCTGTCATGCTGACCATCACGATGTCCACGCGATTCTTGCATATATCCAGTCGCTTGATGTGAACCCGCCCTTTCATACCAACACGTGCCGCCATGATACCATTGAGATCCCTGTGCCGCCATCAATTCGCCTTAAAACTCAAAACTTTTGTGACTTACCACATTCTAATTCGCGTAACAATTGCATGGTATCCACCGTGTACACAATACCTACCATACCTGCCCGGGCAGGACCAGGGGTACGTCGTGTGTGTTCCATTGCGCAAGGCTCGAGTCTCCCACACCGTGGTTCGTTGGTTGGTTGGTTGGTTAACCATGTAGGGATGGGTCCAAACCTGGCGCCCTGATCCACCATCTCACTTGACCAACACAGACCGTTCGGTCTACTGGTCGGTCTGCCATGTCGGGCGCACCCCATGGGGTCCTTGGATTTGGACACCAGACCGGCCTCCGCCGTGTTCAACGTGTTCAACGCGCTCGGCCCGAGGCGTTCGTGCCCGCATGTGCAGATGTGCATGCGCTGTGCGCAAAGTTGGACGAGCAGATCAGCGGAGAAAGGTCGGGTCTGGCTGGGTGGGTGGGTGGAAGAAGCGAGAGCGGCGGGCGTGGTGTGTTTGGGGGTTTCCAGGCTGCGGCTGTGGTGCCAAGTTGGAGCTGTGGTGCCAAGGTCGCTCCTTGCTCCACTAAGGGCGTGTTTGTTCAATGTTTTGTTGGGAATCCAATTTGCAACCACTCCATGTATGGAATATGTGTCTACATTCACCTCCGAAATCAATGTATGTACTGTAGATATTCCAGCACTGAGTGTCTGGACTTGACCTCCCCCTTCTCGCCGTCAGGTCACTCTCCGAATTGTCCCGAGTGCCGGGAAGAGTACAACACGGCCACAGCTTACCCGGATTATTTGCCGGGAGCCTCAGAGACGCATCTGCTGCATCTGCAGCACGGGTCGTTGTGTGATCAGGCTGGTTTTCGAATGGGTGGGGGTCTAAGAGAAGGCAGAAGGAGCATGTCTGATTGCCTCTCTCTTTCTTACACAGATTGATCACAAAAGTGATTACCCACTTGTGACAACCTCTTCAGCTTCTCGACTTAAATATGATTTCACGTGACGAGCCCCCAAAAAGACCTTTCCAAGAGGCTGCAGGACTTTCTGGACAGCTACTGCCTTCAACTTCACCAAACCCTTGTTTCTTTCACCGAATCCCATGGAGTTCCACCCGAAAACCATGCTTCTGCAGGAAAAGACTGCTTTGGTCACAGATCATTTCTCTCCATCCTGTGACCTTCTTTTTGAGTGAACTGCTGAACCCCCCCGAGGTTTCATGTCGCCAGCTCTGACATTCTCCGGCCACCCTTGCCGCAGCGTGAGAAGATGACGTCGGGCACTGTCTGGTTCGTCTCCCCCTTGGATGCTTGCAATTATGAGGTTCTAGCTTCTCTTCCAAGAGGCCTCAAGAGCAGATCCCAGTGTGCCCATCATGAAGAAACGTCGGTCGAGATTTGTTGACTCAGCCTCGTCTCTTGCTGACCTGGGATACGGGGATGAGTCAAACCCTGGAGCCGCAAACCATTCTTGACCGCACATTCCGGTGGTTTCTATTTTGGTTCAACGAAACTTTCGACTGGCACTCGTGCCAAGCTATGCCTTTGGGTCCAGAAAAAACTGCTCCAGAGGACATTCGCTTCACCCATGATAGCATCTCTGAGTGCTTTGCACCCTACACCAAGGACCCGGTTCTTGGGATAAGGATGATGAGAGATTACCAGCGAAAGCAGGAGTGTTTTTATCTGTCTATATGCTTATAACTATAGTCACGGACGGCCAGTAGGCAGAAATCTTCCACTTCAAACCAGTAAGCGGATGGTGTTCAAAGTAGTGCCATGATAACAAAATATGTGTTCCCTATCTGCTTACTGCAGTGGTCTCCCCGATGAACATGTCTCAACAACTTTCTGCTTACTACAGTGGTTTGCCATGTGTATATAGAAGTGTATATATATATATACACACATACATATGAAGAATGTTGACGCGTCCTTGAGCTAAGGTAGGACAAGAAACAACTGCAGTAAGCAGATTCGAATCTGCTTACTGCTGCTGTTTGTCATGTTATCCCAGTGGAACCCTTGATGCCGATAATGCCAATGATGCTGATCATGCGATTTCCTCAAAATTTACTATATATCTTCATTAAAAGCTCTTTAAGATGAATATGTGCACCCGTTTCCATCCGATTCCTTTAATTCTTCCTTAAAATCATCAAAATTATCAATGTTCACAACTTTCCTGAAACAGATCGAAAATTTCAAAAACTTCTTTAACATCCTTAAGCCATCAAGGAACGCCAGGAAAAAAAGGAATTCGACCAGCAAACTATCTGAAAATATTGATTTTTCACAATTTTTCCCAAAATCCTAACTTTTAAGAAGTTGCCTCAAAAATCTTGAAATATCAATGGAAGACAGGAACTGAAGGAATTAGACCAGGAAAATAACTAAGAATTAAAAATTAACTAGCTACTTTTGGTTCACTTGTTCTCCTCTCCCCCTGTCTCTGTGTCTCTTCCCGGCGCTCCTCCGAGACCGCGGGGTGGGACCCGAACGGGGGGAGTCCGTTCGACTCTTCGGACCGGTCACCCACGACTTCGGCCGTTCCAGCCCCCGCTCCCACCATGTACCTCTTGGAGTCTTCGAGCCTCCCGTCTCTCACGGCACCAGGGTTCCCTTATTGGCCGGCGCTCCTGTGGGACCGGTGGCCGCTCCGTTAAGGGAAGCTTGGCTGCAGGGACATGCGCAGGCCTTATTCCTTTGCCCCCCATTACTTTCCCTGTCTATTCCTGCCTGAACCGATGGAAATAGATTTCTGGCCGCTATGGTTGAAGGATTTTGTTTCCAACGGTTCAGGTGGCCTGTTAGAGGATCAGGGTGTATCATAAACCTTTGTTGGGGACACAGTAGTAAGCAGATCAGATTCTGCTTACTGCTCCGGGCTCGCGCTCCACAAATAAACAGCACCGCAATATGCCTTCCATGCACTCTTTTCACTTTTCAATTTGCCGCTTCCCTTCTCCCCGCTTCCCGTGTCCTTCCGTGTCTTTCTCTCCCTTACAATTGTCCACAACTAGAACATTATTCCAGTGGAACTTGTTTCCAACGGTTGAGGCGAGGTAGACTACTGCTTCGGGTATTATATAAGTTACGGTATTCCTGTCGTTTTGGTGGGTACACTGCGGACAGCAGTAGTAAGCAGATTGGCTTATGCTCACTGCCCCCCATTCTACAAAATAGCTCCCCCTCTTCCCCCTCTTCCTACATCCTTCTATATCTGCTCCAGCAATTTCCACAACTAGGTCATTGTGTACAGTATGTTCTTGTAGGAATTGTTATCCAACATTGATACTTGGTGCTTTCTCTTCACTACAGCTATCAGTAGTAAGCAGATTGGTAAATGCTTACTGCAGTCCGTTCCACAAATGGTTCCTCATTGCAGGGGCACGGCTTCAAAAGCTATGGTTCCACAGCAATTTCCAAGGCATTCCCCTAACCCCAACGTGCCAACGCACATGCAGCTACGCACTTAGCTAAGGCGCCAACGCTCAAGCAGCTATGCTCTTAGCAAACCCGCAGTCTCTCCTATATAAGCTCCACTAAGGCCACCTAGCACCTTTGCTTCAACGTTCCACCTACCTCACCACCGCAAGCATCCTCTACCTCCCTCGCTGCCATCTCCTTCCTCACCTTCCTGTCCTCATTCATAACTATATATATATACATGCAGTAAAGCACAATCACCGCAAGAATGCATCCAAATTGGACGGGGGAAGTGTGAGAGAGAGAGAGAGAAGGAAAGGGGACAAAGGAACCATGATGTGCCGGCATCGTTTTGGTCGGTGATATTTTTCTGCTTACTACTGTGGTCTCCACATACCCCTCTATATATAAACCTAGGGAAAATGCTCAAATATACCCCCCGGAGGACAGTAGTAAGCAGAAAAATCCCTGCCTACTGGCCGTCCGTGACTATATGGCAACTTATAACTTTATCTTACTTCTATCAACTTACTTACTCCCAAACAAAAGTCGAATCCAATCTCCGCATCACTTGTAGCTGGTAGCTCCAAATCTCCCAGCTCATCGAGGCTCCGAAAACAAAAGAAGGACGACCCTCGGTGTCCAAAAACCGGATGCAGCGACTGCGACACGAGATGCCGCGGCAGGATGGTGTGGAGATCAAGGAGAGGGAGCAGTTGAAGATCTTATCCAGCGCCCAAGAACTCCTCGACACCGCCCAGGACGCTCTCGGCTCGAGCCGGCATCGGATTAATCCCGCGAGGGGATCGGATGGATCTGCTAATTTCAGGGGATGGCAGGACAGGTGTGACGTGCTTTTTTCCCCAGATAGCTGGAAGCTATAGGGGTTCTTACTTCTCAATGGATGGGTTCCGGATTGCGGAAATTGGCTGCCGCTGCCGCCTTGTTTCCCAAGCTTGTCTCCCTTCATGATTTCGCTTTTAGCTGCCGCTGCCGGCTTGTCTCCCAAGCTTGTCTCCCTTCATGATTTCGCTCTTGGCTGCCGCTGCCGTCTTGTTTCTCAAGATTGTCTCCCTTCATGACTTCGCTCTTGGCTGCCGCTGTCGCCTGGTCTCCCAAACTTTTTCTTTCGTGATTTCGCTCTTGGCTGCCGCTGCCGGCTTGTCTCCCAAGCTTGTCTCCCTTCATGATTTCGCTCTTGGCTGCCGCTGCCGGCTTGTCTCCCAAGCTTGTCTCCCTTCATTGTTTCGCTTTTGGCTGCCGCTGCCGCCTTGTCTCTCATGATTTCGGTTTTGGCTGCCGCTGCCGCCTTGTCTCCCCAAGCTTGTCTCCCTTCATAACTTCGCTCTTGGCTGCGGCTGGCGCCTTGTTTCCCAAGCTTGTCTTCCTTCATGATTTCGCTCTTGGCTGCCGCTGCCAGCTTGTCGCCCAAGCTGGTCTCCCTTCCTGATTTCGCTCTTGGCTGCCGCTGCCGCCTTGTCTCCCAAGCTTCTCTCCCTTCATGATTTCGCTTTTGGCTGCCGCTGCCGCCTTGTCTCTCAAGCTTGTCTCCCTTCATGATTTCGCTCTTGGCTGCCGCTGCTGTTGTGTTTCCCAAGCTTGTGTCTGTTCTTGATTTCGCTCTTGGCTGCCGCTGCCGCCTTGTAATTTTTTGCCTGCCTTTGACGCGGATGCTGTTTTAAGATGATCTAGGTCTTGTTTACCTTTTCCATCCTTTCCCCGGCTTTGAGTGGGATGTCTCCCAAGCTTGTCTCCCGCTCTTGCCATGGTGTCCAACTTTTCTTGAAGTGCTATCTGGGGTCTATGCCGGTATAATTCACCGATTCCTTGGGAAGCTCGGGCAATGATTGGAGTCCAATGGACTGAACACGTGGAGGGGACAAGGGAAGCTACGGATCCACCTTCTCGTCATTAAGACCACGCGAAGACGAGAATCGGACGAAGAACACAGAACCACACATCGACGCTCATGACCCTCTCTTCGGTCGGCGTTTTAGGCTCGATGACTGCCCAAACCGGCACTGAAAACGCAGTGCACGGCGCGACCATTCGAGTCCGGCCCGCGATGTAGGTCTTTCGATTCTTTCCGGAAACCGGTTCGACCTTCGTTGCTTCGTAGCATCGACCACCCTCTGGTCGACGTGACCTGCCTCGTTTCGCGACCTCGGTCGTTGGCCCGGGAGCCCCGTGGAGACTCGGTGGGGAGGAGCCCAAGGCCTTGGAGCTGTTGGAGGTGATGTGGTACAAGAACCAGTTGTACGTGGCAGGTGGGAGGAGCGCGAAAAAGAGCGAGTCGCGCAGGAACAGCGATTGAAAAAGCGAGATTGCGAGAATCAACACTGGGTGGCGTCTTTTTGGGGGGGGGCCGGCTTTTTCTGCACGGCACGCAGGATTGGGAGGTGTTTGGGGTCGTGCTGAAAGAAGAGTGGATTTGCTTGTTACCAAGTAAGACGCTTTGAGGCTTTGAGAGGTGAAACTTCTCCTCATCTCCAGTATTTGGAGGATCAAGTGTCAAGTGTGTATCTTAATAAGACGAAGAAGATTTGCAGCCCTTTGCAGCATGCCCAGTTGTAAGAATCCGGTCATCTTCCTTCTCTTACATACGCCGGCGCCACCGTTTTGATCGGTTCCTGTGCTGAGGCACCTTTAACCGGCGCTTGTGCATGTACCGGCTCCTGGCTTTGTTCGCGACCGAGCGCTTTGGTTTGATCAAGGCCGGCCGGGCCCCGGCCCCGGCGGGCACGTCCCATCTGATTGAAGAAAGTCATGGAGCCAACCTTTTATCATGTTTCTATCCTCTATTTTTTTGCAAGATGAAGATCATTGAATACCCAAGTGGCCAAAGACTTGTTGACTTTGGCGTCCTCCTTCCCTTCCCCATGTTGCAAAAACATGTCGAATCCACATGTGGAAGCCTGGCAGGTACGTGTGAAGCACCATGAAGACCTCAAGTCCAAGCTAGCCCAGTGCTTCACCACCGAATGCGAAGGACACAGAGCCACAAAAAGCGCCACACAGAGCTGGGCTGCTGGGGACACAAGTGACTCACGCTTCCCGCCCTTCCGCCTGTTTGCGAATGGACACCTCGGTTCCTCTTGGGGCTGTCTTCCCTCTCCCCTCTCCCGTCCGGCCAGCCCAAGAGGTCCGGATTCGGGTCACGGAAGGTTTGAAGTGGAGGATCTGTCTCTATTTTTTCGCATTGGAAGCTGTCTACACACTTAGATGGTTGCTCGCAAGAGCTAGGATCAGAGTGAAGTCCCACTTTACGTGCAGTAGACCTTGATTGAAAAGGAGTGCAAACCGAAAGGCGATAAGTCAGCAGATTTGAAGGTGTTGGAACAATGGTGTTTGAATTGCCGACGACTGAATGCTGCCTTGGGTTAAAAGTTGGCAGGTACGCCAGGATTGCAAATCCCGGCATCCCGTGTTCAGACTAGATTCGTTGGGCGTAGTCATCTGAACACGCTACGCCCCCCTGCCTTGTTGAAATTCCTTTGAAGCAGGTGTGGACACACACACCAGGCCGCTATCGGCGCTCAGGAAGTTTAGTAGTCACCTAACAAGCCTTAGCAAGAAAAAGAAAAACAAGACAGAAAGAAAACCGAAGAGGGCAGGAGAGAAAGATAGGATAGTTACGAACCTCCTTTACTTACTGATTACTTAGCCGCTCCCGCCTGTTTAAACACTTCTTTGAAACAGGTGTGGACTTATGCACACACCAGGCCGATTTCGGCGCTCAGAAAGTTTTAGTAGTCACCTAACAAGCCTTAGCAAGAAAAGAAAAGACAAGACAGAAAGAGAAACCGAAGAGGGCAGGGGAGAAAGATAGGCGTAGTTACGAGGCCCACTAGTTATGAGGTCTGTTAGTTACAATACGTGCAGAAGTTAGCGAGCGGGACTTTTGTCTTATACCGCCCGGGTAGCTAGAAGTAGGACAGGAGAAATAGAAGGAAAGGCACCAACACACAAGTGTGTTGAGTGCGATTTCCTTCTATAACCCAGATAGCGGGTGGGATAGCAACAGAGGCCAAGGGCAGGGAGGGAGGGGGAGGAGGGTGGGTTAGGGTGGCCCGGAGGCATTGTCATCACCGACGGTCAAGTAAAGCCGATTTGGGGCCGGCGCACCCTTGTCTGAAAGGCACCTGAAACCTAAAGAAAGGCTTCAAGAAACGAAAAGCAACAGAAAGAGAGAAAGAACCCAAGAGCATGAAAAGCACATGCAACTAAGAAACAGTCTGTGGTTGCCTAGCGGCAAGCCGAGTGATGCATGCGTTGACATGCCTGAGTCTTAAGCCCCGCCTGTTGCAGACTGTACAGGTGAATACTTAGACACATGCATGCATGAAAGTGCGAAATCCGGATTGGAGTTTGAGTCTCAGTGAGTATCAGTGGTATGTCGAGCAAAGACAGTCAAGCCGAAAGCAATCAAACGAAAAGCCAAGGTGGAATAATCCCCCAGGATCTGGGTCTATGCGCATGCGGCGCCCCTCGACGGGCATCACACCACAGCCCTCAGTGGGACTCTGTGGCGAGTACACACTTAGATGGTTGCTCGCAAGAGCTAGGATCAGAGTGAAGCCCCACTTTACGTGCAGTACGTAGACCTTGACTGAAAAGGAGTGCAAACCGAAAGGCGATAAGTCAGCAGATTTGAAGGTGTTGGAACAATGGTGTTTGAATTGCCGACGACTGAATGCTGCCTTGGGTTAAAAGTTGGCAGGTACGCCAGGATTGCCAATCCCGGCATCCCATACTCAGACTAGCTTCGTTGGGCATAGTCATCTGAAATTCCTTTGAAGCAGGTGTGGACACACACACACACACCTTGTAGACATCTTGAGATCCTGTCATGAAGGGTGTTGAAGACTGCCAAGTTGAACATGCCCGCGCAAAAACAGGGGTCCTTGACAGGATGGGCAGAAACCGGCAGAAACCCGAACACTGAGCATTTCTTGTTGTTCTCCACACGGAAAGAAGCACATACGATACCGTAAATCGAGAACTCGAACGAGAGAACCGACCAAACCATGGGGTGCTTCTCTGAAAGTTCAAGTTCTTTGATCCAGGTTTGCTCTTGCCTCGCGCCCAATGGTGGGGACACCGGTGACCTCCCAGGCAATTGGTTGGTTGGCTGGCTGGTTGGTTGGTTGGTTGAACCCCCCCAGCGGCAGGACGCTACGTGTCCATTCGCTCCAACGAGACCATCGATCCACTGCAGGTGGGCCAGGCGCCGGTCCGGTCGGCGGTCGAGCGGCGCAGACGTGGTGAAGAGCCATGGCGGTGCCTGGTGTTGGTTGAAGAGGAAAGGTGGGGCAAAGCTAGCAGCAACTACTCGTATTAATTTTAGACTTGTATCTGCTTGATGACAATCAAAGGCTACGGATGGGCCAAAGCAGGTTGGTCAAAGAAAGACTTGATAGCTACCTCCCTTGACAGACGTCGTCTCTAGGGAGAGGTGAGCCGCGGGATTAGCCGCGGGATTAGCCGCGGGATTGGCCTATTAGCCTGTGGTGAGTTTGTCTTTAGATGGAGAGGGAGTTAGTTTGTCTTGATCCCTCCAAAGACGACTTGTAAGAAGGGGAAAGCTAAACCAAAGCAGCGCCAAACAGCAGCAGGCCGCAGCTCGTTGGGCTGTGGAGTGTTTGGGTGTTTGGGTGTTTCTCCCCTTGTGCAGTACACAGCCATTGACATAAAGTACGATTCATTGTTTGTACTACAGCCTTGTATGATGCCCGTGCCAGACGCCTCATGAGCTGCACTGGCCAGAAGCCGTGAGGCTATTAGGAGCGTAGGGGGGAGAGGGTCCAGGGATGGAGTGCCTCCATCGAAGCCACACGACCTTCCACATCATCATGAGCCAACGTGGATGGCACCATCACCTCTTTTGGTCTGATTGAACATGGTCATCCGAGGAAAAGGATAGAATTTCGGGGGCCAACGTTGGCCCTCCTGGCCCATGAGTCCCATGAGTCGTGGCCCAGGAGTGTAGCGATGAGAACCACCGAGTCCACCACGAACACACTGGGAATTCGAGCCGAGGGACTTGGGCGGAGAGGGGCGATAGTGTTCCTTTGGATGTGGAGAGGGGCAAAGCAATTGGACCCATCACCTCCCAGTGACCCATCACGATCAGACCACAATCTGATTGGAAGAAAAGCCACCCGCTAGACCGCTAGACGGCTCGACGAGGAGGCGACACTTGGCGTCCAGAGCCGCCTGCAGGTCTGCAGAGCGAAGGTGTGAGCCTCAGATCTTGCATAAGTTCACCCCCCGAAGTCTCACATCATCTTGCCTCACAGCTGCTCTGATCTGAACAGTTGCCTGAATCCCTGACTTCCCGAGAAGATCCCTTTCACGCAGCTCATTCTTCAAGAGGTTCCCTTTTGGCCAGTCTCTTCTTCCCCAAACAGTGTGGACACACCAGGGTTCTTACGGCGGTTGGGGCTGGGTTTGATCGAGTGTGCTCACATCTGTGGGCGGCAAGTGTGCTGCCAGTTAAAGCACATGCCTCTCAATGAGATCTTTGAAGTGCACTTTGACTGCGCAAGCTCCAAATTGGTGGGTGCGAGCGGGTGCTTCCTCGACTGCGCTCTCGTGATGGTGCCGTGCGCATTTTCCGGCTTAGTGGGCACTTTTCGTGGCAGGTGAGGGTCTGAGGTCGACTTGAAGCCGGCGCGCGAAAACTCAAAAATAGTTCGATTTTCTGCAGGTTTGCCGAGCAAGTTTGCAAGGATGGGTTGCATAATTGCTTTGAAGCTCCTGGGGCCCCTCTTGTCGATAACGGATGGTAAGGTCGTAAGACAAGACCCGGCGCAGGCCACACCTGGACACACCATGCCTGTTGCTTCCTGAAGCCTAGCATATTTCTAGTGGCTACGGAGGCCCGGGTCCAAGCAAAAGCGCAGCGCGCCGATGCGCGACCGTGGGTATGGAAATCATGTCTACATTGTCTACATGTGTGATGTGAAGGGTCCGCACCTGTTAGGCCCCGAGAGTGGCATGGAAGAGTGGCGCAACGAGGCGACCCTGCGTGGCACGGGCGTGGAAGCACCGAGCCTGGAGAAGCGGACGGACGCCCAAGGTGCACGCCCATTGTCTTCGAACTAGGGCGCTTTGGGGGCAAGTGGATGGGCGCACCTTGGTGCAGCTGCCCCAACCAAAATAGTGAGAGGCAGACAGCGCCCACGGCTCAGGTTACGAGACTGTAAAGCAGGAAGGCTCCAGAGCCCAAATGGAGATCTCACGGAGGCCAGGGTAGGGAAGACAACCCTTTGGATGTATTTGAATTTGGATGTATGCATGCCCATCGCGTGAGTCGGACAGCTTCCTGGAGATCTCACGATGGAAAAGTTTGAGGCCCGGGAGTGGCCCCCGCAATCTGGAGCTTGCTCTTGAGGTCCGGTAGTGTGGAGCTTGCTGTTGAGGTCCGGTAAGGCCCACTGCGGTCTGGAGCTGGCAGCTGCTGAGGCGAGGAGAAGAGAGGAGAGGAAGGGGGAAGGGGGAGGAGAGGACCCTATTCTAACATCCAACAACCTTGAGCAGTCAAGGGCCGTTCTTTGTTCTTTTGACTGCCTGCGCAAGCGCCGCGAGCCTGAAAAGGAGTTCGTGGCCGGTGCAGTGAGTCGTGGGCTTTGGACCTGTGGGTGACTTTGGAGTTGATGTATCGTGCGAAAGCTTCGTTTTGGCAAGTGAACTTAAGCGCTTTGTTGCGAAGCGCGCTGACAAGGCTGTGCGATGAATCTTGATGTGCAGATATCGTGGCAAGCACAGCGGTTTGCTGTGGCAGGCGCAGCACTTGGAGAACTTCGACGTGCAGATTTCGTGGCAGTGGTAAGGGTGGGCCTGTGCTGTCGCAGGCGATCTATCGGGCTGGGGCAACCTTGTTTTCTTGGACCCTCCAGTTGGTCAAAATTAGTGAGAGCTACCTTAGATCTAGTGTGCACGCGTGTGTTTGCAAGCCCCGCTCGTTGTGTAGGGCAGCGCTTTGTGATCCTCAAAGTGCAGACATCGTGGCAAGTGCAGCTCACTGTCAACTGCAGCGCTTTGTAAACCTCAAACTGCAAATTTTGTGCCAGGGGCAACCCTTTGTGAACCTCCTTGCGCAGATTTCGTGGCAGGCGCAGCACTTTGTGAACTTCGAAATGCCGATTTGGTGGCAGGCGCAGAATTGTGAACCTCGAGATGCAGATTTCGCAGCAGGCGCCACACTTTGTAAAGGATACGGAACTTGTGAATCTCATGGTTTTGCTCCTCTCCTATTTGTGCAGTGTGGCTCTCATGTGTGCTCTTGCGTGTTTGCTGTCATATATGTGTGTTCTCATGTGTTCGCGCGTGTGCTCTCACATGTGTGCTCTCGCGATATTTGTGCACTCATTCGTGTGCTCTCATGTGTTTCCTCTCACGTGAGTGCTCTCATAGACGTGCTCTCTCTTATGCACGTACGCTTTATGCGTGCTCTGATATGTGTGCTCTGATGCGTGAGAGTGCGGAAGTTCGCTTATTCACCCTTTTCACTTCACTCTGTTTGGGGTCTCTTGCCGGGATATTTATTGAGGGCACACTACATTGACTTGTTGTGAAATCCCCAGACACCCCAAGGCCCTTGCAACGACGCGAATGACACCACGAGCTCCAGCGCTGCAAGCAACGTAGCGAGCGTGGTCGCAGTCCCCGTATCCGCGGAGAGCGATCGCGTGGTGGCTCCGGGGCTGCACATGGCGCACAGCCTCATGCCATGAGTTTTTTTGGTAAAAAGGATAAGCAGCAACTGGGTGTGGATGTTTAAGGCACCTTTTTCCGATTTCAGCTGGTTTCTGGCCGACAGGAAGTTGCGTGGATGGTCGGAGGGTGAAGTAAAGAGAGGCGGAACTCTTCCAAACTGTATGGTCACTCCAAAATCATAAGATTCGAGATTCAAAGAACGACATGGCCAGTGGTGTGGTTTTTTTGTTCTCGGTTTCTCGGTTGGGCCGAAACCTTGCCGTCCCAAAGGCTGCGTTCGCAGACCACCACCAGATGCCGCTGAAGGAGGTCCGGCAGCTCTTCGCGCAGCTCACCGAGGTGGGTTCGACAGATCCCCTTTTGTGCCATCTTTCCGCATCTCAGAGCTATGGCTGTGTTGGGGAGAGCTTCACTGCCTTGTCCGGGCCTTGTCTTCTCCGCCTCTTGGCCTCGGCGCGGACCCTTCCGGCCCTGTGACCACTGTCCGGGCCTCTTTACCTGCTTGGCCGCGCTGTTCTCCCTTTCTTCATTCACTTTTCGGGCTTGTTTTATTGGCTCTGAATGACAACTCATTTTTGTTTGCATGCTGTTCCCAAGCAGCTGGAGGCTATAGGAGACGTTTCCACCCACATTGGAATTCAAGGAATTGACGCAAAGAATCCGGCTGAACCTGTTGGGGGTCTATGCTGCCACAATGTTAAAACACCTCGCCAGGAACAACGCTGGCTGACCTGCATGCGCTTCCGTCACTTGGTCCTTAAAGAGGAACCTGAAAATCACACTTCTTGGGGGTGCAAGAGGAGTGAACACATGGAGGCAGCAGGAGATGATTCTGCCAACTTTTGGTGCTTTTGCAAGGTTGATGATGTCGATGGTCATGGTCAACTGTGGGGTGGTAGTCTCGATCTGTCATCTCACCGCAGATCGTGCAGACTGCGCAAACCAGACCAAGGACACGACCCCAACAAGAGCGGAGTGCCGCCGATCAAGCTTCTCCAGATCTTCGCCGGGACCTCAAGGGCGACCGTCCAAAACGGGCGCCGAGCAGTTGGACGAAGAGACAGAAGTAGACCGGAGATTGTCCGAACGTTCTTCTTAGTAGTCATTCATCATTATAGTAGGTCTTAGTAGTTCTTCTTGTATGTCTTAGTATTTCATCATTCATCTTTCTCCTCATTTTCTGCTTTTACTTTGCCAGGACTCGCCGCGACATGCTGTGACATGACATGTGACGCCTCAAAAGGGCGAAGCGGACAGCGGACGATTGCCGTGACTGACCGTGACGGAACTCGCTCCGAAGAACGTGACGGAACTGAGCTCGCGCTGGGCTCTTAGATGGGCTGAGGTGAATTCCTGCAAGACCAATGGCTTTCGAGAGAGGCATTCGTTGGACCGCGACCCCGATGGATGCCTCCAGTTTGCAGAAAGGGGGTGCCAATCCGAGTCCTTTTGGAACAGAACTCCGAACGAGTGGCCGCGGGGTGTTTTGCTTTGAGGGTGTTGCCGCAGGCGAAGTCAAGTGGCCGGGTCTGCCCTGCTTGGCAAACTCTATCTCTCTTTCATGAGTGACCATTGGCCAATATCACGCAACGCACCCACCCCCAGGACTCCTCAGCTTGTTGGGCCAATGAGCTAGCGAGACATTAGGAACAGGAGAGCTTGCAGAGGATTTCCTTTTGTCTATGTATTGCTGGCCAGTGGAAAGATCTTGAAGCAGGCATGTCCAAAGAAAAATCTTGAGACACGACATCGGCATGATCATGGGCCCTGTTAAAAAGCTTGTGTTCTTGAGTTGGACTTAATGTAGTTGGCTGTTCTAACCCATCTAGCGCCCAAGTCAACACTTGTCGTGTCGTGATTCTGTGAGTCACCCTGAAATCACCGAAAAACGGAGTTTCTCAGCAGGTCGTTGGTGCCATTTTTCACATGCTTTCTGTGGACCTGTTCAGGTTTGGCAACCCACCTACCTGGTACACCTCTTCCAAAGATGGAAAGGAAAATGAGGAGTTTTTGGTTTGAAAAACGACCTCATGTCGGCTTCTATGGTGTCTGGCAAGCGGTCCAACAAGAATCAAACATAGATAGCCCGTAAGAGTCCTCATGTTGGTAGAGGTCGTTAGGCCGTTGATGGGAGTTTCCTGTGTGGGATGACATCCTTGGTGCCTTGTGAGTGGCAAGGTTTCGACCAAATTCTGAAGAAGGCAGATGTTCAACCTGCACTGCAGCGGGGTCGAATTCTACCAGGTGTGACTTGGGGTGTGAGTGGAAGCAGCAAAGGTGTCCCTGGAGATTAACCAGTGGAGAGATCCATGAATCCCACACTATCCACTTTTCTGTTAGGATCAAACTTGGCACTTCATGGAATTGCAGAAATGAATTTCATTGGTCAGTCCGTTTGTCCAACACACCAAGCATGTCAACATGCTTCCGCTTCCCTTGAGGTGCTTCACATCCTTCGAGCCAGTGCAATGTTCCACCACGACCACCATCTCCACCTCCACCTCCTGAAAACCGAAGCACCGTGCCCAACGTCCAAGCAGCCAAAGCACCCAAAGCACCACCGTCCACCTTCCAAGCCTCACAGCCAAACGCCTCCCGACCACCTCTAGCTGCCACCCGCGCGGCCTCCGCGCACGCGGCGCGGGGCCGCTCGCGGCCGCCGGACCGGCGGGTTCCGCCGCCGGTGCCGGCGCCGCCGGCCTCGAGGGAGGTGGCGCGACCACCGGTGGTGCCGGCGCCTCCTGCATTGAGTGATTTGGCTGTGGAGTTGAAAGCACGGGTGGAGGTGGTGGAGAAAGAGAAGGAACAGATGGAAAGATCTTTACAGGCAGCATTGGAGAAGATAACAGAGTTGCAGCAGGAGGTTTTGAAGTTGAAAGAATCGGAGCAACATTGGTTAGAAGAGGCGGAAGCTGCTGAAAAGAGGGAGAGGGCGTTGAAGGACCAGATGCTCGACCAGCTTAGACATTTTCCGTCCGTGCTTCAAATGATTGTAAGTTTCAGAACACTGCGAAGAACAGCATTGGGCGCTCTTGGACCAATTGTTTGCCAAGAATATTTGGAGTTCAAACAACTTCGACTTGTGTAGATTACAGCTTCAGCCGAGGCTCAGTCGGGAAACGGAACGTCGTCAGGAGCAAGACCGCACCCTGCAAGTGTTGCAGCTCGCGGAGCGCGAAGGGCCACAACGAAGAAGTCGTTGGGGGAATCAGCGTCAAACAGAGCCAGTCTCTTCCAGAGAAGATGATTCAATGCAAGAGCCCCCTAATGCACGTGTACTGAACGCACACGAAGCTTCTCTTCTGCCTAAAGTCAAGCTCTAGTTTCTTAAAACGTTTCTTTGTTGTACCGAAAGTGCAAAGTCCAAAGATTGCTTTTCCAAGGGAATCGTCATGGTGAGTCCTATAGGCTTGAGGATGTTTCTGAGGGCAAAAATCCTTTGCTGTCAGAGGCTGGGTTTCAAGCAGCAGAAGTTTGTGATGATGATCCCTGGCGCAATTACGACGCGAACTGCATCCAATTGAAGCCCTGGGATCGCGAAGATGAGGATGAAGAAACTTCTGGCGGTGATGATCGATGGAATGACCATTGCTTCAGTTCTCCGTGCGACACGGATGTGGCTGTTCACAGCGATGTGCACCACACCGGCGATGGAAGCGACACCATCTCTCAGTTTATTGAACATTGGAAGCTCCGGTGGGACGAAACAGAGGAGATCCTGCACGGATTGACACCAGAAGAGGTGGACGTCGTTAAAGAGGATCGAAGGATCCGTTCATTGTTTTGGGTACACAAGAGCTGCAGCCCATAGAATGCTACTTTTTCTTTTGACCTCCAGATAGGGAAAAAAGGCTCAATTAGGGCTCTTTGTAGTGTGAACATCACTTTGGTTTCTAGTTCCATCCTAACCTTTTTGCTCTGTATATGTCATATGTGTTTATAAACACAAAGAGAGCAATCCACCCATTTTAGCCGTTCTAGTCGCCGGTTGAGCCTTTTCTTCTACGAGAGTTGTGAGAGGTGGACATGATCTTGCGACGCTTCAGCATGGACAAGCAGATGGGCAAGCGGCCGGAGCCACTGCTGCGAAGCTACGTGGAGTCGTGTCGCCGAAAGGGCTTCCAGAAACACCATCCCACAGATGCTCTCGCGGAGTTTGCGGCCGAGTGGAAGATGCCATTTCATCAGGTGCGTGAAACGATCACGACACGATGCTTTGGAGCTGAGACCTTCTTGAAGATTCGTACTTTTCTGAACAGATGGGGATGGGTTCGAGGCCCCCCCCAACACCCTGGTAGGTTGACTGACACCATGTCAGTCAACCAGAATACTCTGCTTTTCACCACCATGACCACCAGATGGTTTTGGAATATGAGGTGGCACTTCAGCCAGCTCTGAGTTTTATGCACCCCTTGACTTCCATCGCCAGGTGCGACAGATCCTGGAAACGGTCAGCCATCCGCAGCAGCAGCAGATGGTCATGAAGGAGTACTTTTGTTGCTCTCAAGATGGTACTGAGAAGCGCATGCAGACCTTGCAGCGTTACGTGACCTGGCAGGCGGGCAGAAGCCCGGATGGGCTGTTGGGCTAGCCAGGTGTGCTTCAAGTTTTGGGGCCAAGCAGGCACACAATCTTACTACTAGTAGCTTCTTGTTACTAGTAGTAATGGCCTCCAACCTAATAGCAATGGCCTCCACCTAGTAGCTTCTTGCTACAAATGCCAACCAAGGAATGAGCAAGCGAACCAAACAACCCAGCAACAAACTGACCAAGGACCCATTTTCCGCCGGACCCGTCAGGCGTTTGCTCAGCAGTGGGAGATCTCCTTAAGTGAAGTGTCGGAGAACTTTCAGCGCCTCACAGATGAACAAGCGGAAGTGGTGATGAAGCGATTTCGCTTCAACGGCAACTCGACGCAATGGACTGCTGCTGCTCAGTTGAGAAACTATGTGAAGACTTGTATGTGCAGAGGCTTTTGGGGAACTTCCAGCTGAGTGAGTCTCATGAAACTTTAGACTTTAGATGTCGCTGTGCAGTGTGCCTGCGCAGTACATGGAAAAGGCATGCGAGTGCACTGGGCCTTTTCGTGGGATGGTGATATGTGTTTGCTTCAGGCAGTCGGCATGTGGTACAGACTGATCAGTTGGTCCGTGGGGCAACATAGTAGCTGAACATGGACCTTAATCTTTTATTTCTAGCTGCGGAACCTGTCACTTGTCTCCCAGTAACTGCGACTGCCTTGGTATCAAGGAGATTTTCACCATGAGGAAATCAATTGTTCAAGCCACTGCAATGTTCCACCGCCACCACTTCCACCACCACCTCGCGAAAACCCCACTTCCCAAGCACCCAAAGCACCACCGCCCACCTTCCAAGCCTCACCGCCGGCATTGAGAGAAAAGGTCTCTCCCTCTCTCGGTTTTAATCTTCCTGAAGCAAGGGGCCGTCACAAGGCAAACACCTGGGCAGCGACCTAAGTAATTAAGCGCTTCAAGCAAACCAGAACTGATGTTCTTGTGGCTTGCATTGTGTGTTTTTGCTTGGACTCGGCTTCAAGCAAGGCTACCCAAGCTTGCCCATGTTTCCTCAATAGAGTACCTTTGGCCTTTCCTCAACCAGGTGAAGCCGTTTCTGCCATCGGATTGGTTGAAGAAAAAGGAGTTGAAAACACCACTCCTGGGCTTTCCTGGGCTGAGAGTGTTTTCTACTCATGCCTGCGTTTCTCATGCTGTTTCTCATGCTGCGTTTCTCATGCTTCACTCACAGCGATTTTCAGGCGCCATGTTTGAGTAACTTGAGAGATCACAGTCGCCCAGTCGCCCTGGTCATGGCTCATGACAGGTCCGATCGCAGCAGCAGTTGGATAGCTTACAGCTTACATGAACATCAGTCACAGTGTGCTGCTGTTTTCAAGCATGTTCAATGATTAGAGAGACAACCATTGACATGTACATCAGCTGGTGGCCCACCTTTGCAGTTTTCTCGCCCCGCGCCGAAGAAAAGAATGAAGACCATGTCTGGCGAGGAGCAAGGTGCTCAGGCGCAGATATGTCCACAATGCTCCTTGCTTTAGATGATGCAGGGTGCTGAGAGGTGCCGAGAGGTGGTCGGAATTTGCATGTGCACTTGTCACCCACAGAGAATCTGATCGAATAGCCCGCTACCGTTCCGACCTTGCAGGAACACACACACATACTCGTACTTGACAGTAATCAACCGTGGCCAAGCCAAAAAGGGTCATGTGGCCAAACGTGTCTTCGCTGTTGTCGCTTCCGTCTTCGCTGGGCCGACCGAGAGAGCGAAGGCACGGATGCCGTCGGCCGGCGTGCTGGAGACGCGACTGCTGAGGTTGATCCATAAAAGGATGGACAGTCCCAGGGGTTTTGATCGAACGAGTAGAACACTGGACGAAAGGATCGTTTTGTTTTCCTACATTTTTCTACTTTTTTTTTTTTTTAAAGGGAGATACTTGCTGCCCAAAGCATCTGCGAAAGATCCGAGCTTCTGCGAAAGATCTGTCGTTTGATGGGTTTTCGTGAACGATGTATCGAAGGAACTTCATTCTCATTTCCTTTCTACTGACGTATGGTAGAAATACAAGGCAATCTTCCAACAGAGCCGGTGGGCAGATCTTTGTCACTGCCACAGACAAACAAACATGATAACATGATAACATGAAAGAAGGTGCGTTTCCGTACTGTCCAATTCCCTTCCACCACTCTTGGTTCAAGTGACGGTTCTGAACTTGAGCTCCCAGTTCCCCCGCAACTTGCCCCAGAGTTCGGCTGAGTTTTGCATAAGTCTATTCCTCAAGGTGTGTCGTGTAGGTGCAAGTGAGTCTAAAGTGGCTGTGGCAACTTTCAACATTGTGTGTCTATGCCAGTCACTCGTTTGTGGTTCTTGTTCAGTTGTGTTAGCTAGATGTCTTTAGGACCATGCTCCTCCTTTTTGCGCGACGATGGTCATGGAACATCACGAAACAACAAATCATCAACCACTTTACTGTACCAAACATCATTCTTCAAATCCCCCAATCACCTGGGATCTGACCAAGTTCGTTTCCGGCCACCGGTTCCCACCGCGGACCGCTCCGCACATGACCGAGCGAGCCGGACGACCTAGGTGGGGAGCTCGTGCAAAAGGCGATGAAGGCTCACAAGAAGAAGGACTGCAAGCAGAGGATGGTGCCGAAGGCGATGGTATTTTTCGCGATTGGACAGTTTTTTTGTTGTTTTTCTTTTATTTTTTTTTAATCGGAAGTTCTTTTTTTTTTTGCGCGTTTCCTCCCCCCCAAGAAAGAGAAGAACACCGGTGACCAATTGTCTGGACCCCAGAAATCTGGCAGTGTTTTGGGAAGTCTTGGGCTGCTTGGTGGAACAGCCAGATTCTTTTGCTTTGGATCCCCAGAGTCGCTGGAGATCCGTTGCTTCGGCTTCCCCAGATAGGCTCACACCGAATTCAGTCGCAGCCGAGGCATTCGAAAACCCTGCCGATGTGGATCCGGACGAGATCAGTGGAGAAAGGTCCGGCAATGTGGGACCGGACATGTGGACGTGTGATGTGGGGGTTCTTGGGGTCGATGTGGTGCCAGCTCTGGCAGGGAATTCAGTTTTTCTTCTCCACTTGGGGGTGAACATGGAAACACTGGGTTTTCTCCTGACCATCACTTAAATCCACAAGCCCTAAACACACTGCCGCGCGGTCACTACTTGGGCTCCAAGAAAAGAGACAGCTCCGAACCATTTACAGTTACAGAAAGGCCTGAAACTCTGGCATCGGCCGAACTCCTCGCGACCGATTCGGCCAGAACACCTCCATCCACCATCATCGCTGCAAGCCCGCGGCCGCCGTTCGGAGCGAGGACGAGGACGAGCGCGTGTTCCGAGCCTCCACCTCCAGATCCGGAGGGTTTCCGTCCTCAGTCCGCGTGCGCGCGCCGGCGCCGGCGCCCCTCCCCCGAGCCGTGGATTGCGGGTTGAAAGACGGGGACCTAGACTAGACCAAGGACAGTCCTTTTGAGGATCTCCCCCATGAAATACACACCCGATGACCTCATTTTGCCTCACTTGGGTTGGGGAAGCCGCTCTCATCCGAACAATTGCAATGCCCCAACCTCTCCCAAAAAAGGTCACCATGATTCAGCTTCCGTTTTTGTGGGCATTCAGCTTCTGTTCTTTTTTTGCCAGACTCGCTATGTCCCTTCTTTCAAGCACTTCGCACCGAACGCCCGTTCTTCCTCGGACGCCCGGAGGGACGACGTCCCGGCCGAGCTCCAAGGTCGCTCCGCGGCGAGCTCGGGCGGAACCGTCGTCGGAACCGTCGTCGAGCTGAGCGAGCAGAGCGAGCGCGTGATGGCTCCCAGGTGGCAAAAGGGGCGAAAACAGAGCCGAAAAGAAGGAGTGCTTTTTGATGGTAGGAGCGGAGCGAGCATGCGAGAGCTTTTTGGGGGTTCTGACTTCCAAAAGGACTGGATGTCTGTATTTTGCATTGGGTAGTTTTGTGTTTTGTTTACACCTTGCCTTTAATGACGATAGTATGAATTATTCCCGGGTAGATGACCACCCCTGACCACATGGCAGGGGGTATGTTTTGGTGGAAGGAAGCGCCACAACCGGCTGTGGATGTTTTAAAGACATTTTCCAATGAAAAACTGGCTTTGGCAGTGGAAAGCGGTCGAAAATGACTCGGGATTTGGGTGGAAGGAGGATGGACCAGGGGGAAGCCCTTCCAAACAGGACCACGTGCGGAACATCCTTGAGAACCACCAAGATCAGATCGATCGATCTGGTCAGTTGAGGTAGAAACAGGAGTCTTCTCCAGATGGAGGGCTGAGTTCCGCTTTCCCAAGGCTGCCTTCGCCGAGCATCACAAGATGCCGCTGAAGGAGGTCCGGGATCTCTTCGCCCAGCTGAACGAGGCGGTCGGGGTCGATTTGGGCATCGGGACGCACTGCAGTAGCAGCAGAAGGCACCCAGCCAGATGGCCGCCGATGGCCTCAGCATCTCAGAGGTTCCCTGGAGTGGGAACTGATAGGGAACTGAGGCCAGTCCACATCGCAGATACCGTTAGCGTTGGCCTCAAGTTGTGTGGGAGAAAGAGTTGGGAGACAAGCCTTACCTCGCCAGGAACAACGCTGGCTGACCTGCATGCGCTTCCGTCACTTGGTCCTTAAAGAGAAACCTGAAAATCATACTTCTTGGGGGTGCAAGAGGAGTGAACACATGGAGGCAGCAGGAGATAATGATTCTGCCAACTTTTGGTGGTTGCGCAAGGTTGATGATGTCGATGGTCACCCCTGGCTTAGACCGGTCAACTGTGCGGTGGTGGTCTCGGTTGGCTTGGTTCACCTTCGTTCGCCCCATCCGCCCCAAGCCCCACCGCTCCTCACTCGTCAAGGATATGACCCGAACAAAAGTGGGGTGCCGGCGATCAAGCTTCTTCAACTCTTCGTTCAGACCTGAGAATTCGACTTCGACGGCGCGCTTAAGTTCGGCGAAGGCGCAAACTGGTGAAGTTCGCAAACTGGAAGGCGAGGTGGAAGAAGGCGTTGGCTGGAAGAAGAGAAAGTAGTACAGAAAGAACAGCATGTTCTTTAGAGGACCACTTCTTTCCTTTGATGGACATTCCTGTTGTATTCAAGAACACATAAGAACATCAGGTCATGTAGACTCTTGAGGATATGGGCATGGCCCAAGGCCTTTCAGAGGATGTGCAAAATGGGTGGGGTTATGATGGTGTTCCTTAGGAGTCGACCCATGACCCATGACCCATGGGACCCATGGGACCGCTCAGGTGCACTCTTGCCAGACGAATGGCTTTCGAGAGCGGCATCCTTTAGACCGTGATCCTGACGGATGCCGCTAGGATGGCGGGGTCGGTGGGGGAACCCCGACAGGAGAAGGAGAAAACACACACACAGACCAGGGTCATCCAATGGGTGTCCTGGCTGGACTACCCCACACTACCGGCCGAAAAAGGCTTCACAGGGCACCCCGACAGGAGACTGCCTGGTATACACTGCCTGGGTCCCTAACATGGTGACGTGGATGGCCTGGCCCCGAGTTCGGAAGACCAAATCCACCAACAGGTGGTGCCATCCATGTTAGGAACCCAGTACATCAGAAAGACACACGAAATGACTTGGATCTGAGAACGAAATGACTTGGGGAAGAATGGCGCTTCGGTGAAGAAAGCCCAACCAACGGCGCGACCGGGTTCGACCGGTCGACGGTGTCTGCACCGTCCCTGCCGTGGTTCGTGTGGACTTGGACCGCTCGACCATTGAGGCACAAGGTGGACTAAGGTGACCCAGGCGAGTCTGAATGTTGCTCCTGACAGGCTGCGAGCCTCTCTTTTCATTCCCTTCCTTATCTCGTAGCTGGAACTTGGCTACGGGCAATCTGGTGAAGCAGGTAATGGTTGTACTGTTGGTACTGCAAGACATGTCAATGCATTCACTTTGTGATGGGATGGTCATGATCATGGGCCAGTAAGTGTCTCACCACATAGCCACATGACCATCCAACACTGCCTGTTACCTTTCAAATCTCCTTTGCCTGCATATCTCTGACCAGTGGAAAGACCTTGAAGATTGCAAGAGGGAAGTGATTGCGACATGAAGTCTTTCCTAGCTTGTCTTCTTGAGTTGGACAGCTGGCTGCAAGACCATCACTACAAAGCCATCACTTGTGGTGTCGGACTCGTGTGATTCTGTTTTCGTCACCCTGAGAAAACTCACCGTGACGCGCCGATCAGCGGGTCGCTGGTACTCTTAAACATGCTTTTCGTGGGCCCTGTTCTCACAGAGTTCAGCTTGAAACTTCCACTGGACCGACCACCGACCATCACCGACACCAAACAGGAAGCCCAAAACAGTACTCCCGTACTCCCAGCATTGCTCCTAGAACAGGTGACCCTTTTTTTCGGGAGCCTCTTTTTTTTCCACCACGACCACGTCGTTGGTCACCGACATCGGTCATCCGTGCCTTTGAACTTGAACCGTGGTCCACAAATGGTACACCCTAGAAGTCCAGTTCGACGATTTGTGGCACCACCCCAGTAGATGAAATTCCTTTTCGGGTCATCCGAAGAGCATTTCAAACATTAGTCTTTGACTTTCAGGGTACATATAATTATATATATATATACAGAAACGATTCCGAAGAGTCCTCCACCATGTCAGCTGAGGGTCTCTAGATGTTACAAGCGATCCGCCTCCTCCTCTCCTCCTCCTCCTCGTTTTGGAATCTGGGTGTTGGCTTCTTCCCTGTGCTTTGGCGGTGTGCATTTCTCGGAGTGCTTGGCGGTTCTGGCCGCGCTCCAGTTTCTGAGATGGTTGCTCAGGGACGTGCCCGGACGACATTCCAAGTCTGGCAAGAATCCACTCTCCACGAGGGGTGTCCAGTTGCTTCTTAGATTCTGCTCAGCTCAAACATTAAGACACGGACCCCAGAACCCCCCGATGCGAGCGAGTCCTTTACCCAAAGCGATAGACTTGTCTTCCGACTTTCCATACCTACATGACAGCAAGGCTAAGCTAGCCATACGGCAGATCCGGTCGTCCAAAGAAACTGCGTGCGACCAATCTTTGCAAATCTAGAGGGTGGGGATCACTCGAAGTCCAGTATTCATGTTGGTAGAGGTCGTTGGGAAGCTTCCTGTATGGTGGTGTCCTGGGAGTGGCAAGGTTTCGACCAGATTCTGAAGAAGGCGGATGTTCAACCTACACTGCAGCGTGGCGACCCACTTCTGAAGAAGGAAGCTGTTCAATCCACACCGCAGCGTGGTGACCCAATTCCGAAGAAGGAGG